TGCCGTTCTTGAGTATTCGCCCCGAAGACTGCCCCAAAAAGTCTGCAATGCACCCTAAGTCTGCCCCAAAAAGTCTGCAATGCCTCCGAAGTCTGCCCCAAAATGTCTGCAATGCGCCCTTAGTTAAAGTCGGAATCGGAAATGTGCCCTAAGTATGCCCCAAAAAGTCTGCAGTGCGCCCGAAGTCTGCCCCAAAAAGTCTGCAATGCGCCCGTAGTGCCCCAAAAAATCTGCAATGCGCCCTAGGTCTGCCCCAAAAAAATTGCTGGCTGGGAGGATCTGACTGCAATCTGTGTACTAAAATCCAATTATGTCTACACGATCTCTAATATAGCAAACGCCATGTCTGACTGAATACCAGGGATGTTATATAAAAATGCACAAGTGAAGGCTTGAGAAATTGAGCTAATAGCAAACTTGTATTTATAAAATACGAGAACATGCACGAGCAGTGTTTAACCACGCAAAGTATATCGAAACACTGAAAAATCAATGTTCATTTCCACAGTGGTAAATATTCGCTAAGCATACATAAAACCAGTTTCTGTAAAACTCTATCTGATATATTTTCGTGGATCTGTCGTCTGCCAATTTCAAACTACCGTTTTGCAATAAACCCGTTGAGAATGGTTATTTAAAAACAGCTTGTTCTAAGCATTTTGCAAACATTTTGGCTTCATATACTTCCGAACCAGAACCGAAGACTTACAGGCAAATTATTAAATGAACTGTATCCACCAAATGATGAAGACCACGCTGTTAGATGCAAACAATGAGCATGCAGTAAGTACTCCTTGGCACCGGAACTTCTTTAGGAGCTGCTGCCGCGTGTATTCTACAAAACTAGTTTATGGAACTACATTAAAACTAACGGGGAAGTTTGTTTAGCCCTCCACTTTGTCACCCACTGCTGATTGTGAATAGCATGTTGTCAGGCTCTCGGACGCTTTGTATTCAGTGTGGCAAACTCTGATCTGACTGCAATCCACAAAGGTTCTGAATTAGGTTTAAAAACATCTTCATATGTACTTGTACGTTACGGCGCTGACATCTGTCCACTAATACCATTACACGATGGGTCATGGTAAATTGTTGAATTAGAAGAAAACTTCTATATTACAAAAAGAAACGTGCAAGGGCTGTTTCGTTTCATCACATTTAGAGGTAAAACCAAAAGCCAATGGTCCCATTACTTCACCAAACAAGAGTTAGATGAAGTACACATTTTCAGTGGAAAAAATTACAGTAACACTGCTTAGACGGCACAAGGATACATTGAAACGGCATGAAAAGCTTTTCGTGCAAGAACAATGAGGTCTGAGAACATCTTCGCACATGATTAAAAAGAGGAGTTCTGACTTGTGTCCTTGTATTTTTTGGTTAATGTGCAGAAAATTGGCAAGCTATTGGTGACATGGAATTTGTAGGTATATTGGCTGCTGACATTTTAAACTTGCCACTGAGATAAATTTAACTTATGTTACTCTATCTACCATTAGGCGTATCTCAGGATGATGGCCTGTTATGTGAAAAGGGCGGCTGGTGAAATAATATTGAAGGACATTATTTTTCATCGTGTGGTGTCTGTAGTGTTTGTTGGTCGCTTAAACTCAAATTATGATGTTAGCGACATAACGTTTATGATACCAAGGAAAAAGGATCATGAATGTATTAATTTTGAGAGCTTATTTAGAGTAATAAAGAACTATCTTTTATACGTGAAACGAATAGTTATTTAAGGAACAGTGTGCTTGCATTTCTTTTTATGCTGCATATTTCACAACATCAAAAGACCAGATTACTTGGAGTATGATCAAATGAACAACATTTTTGGATTGATTAAAGATTATGATGACATTCAACAAATGGTTTAATTAGAAACCCTTAAACTTAGTGTACTAACCAACAAGAAGAGAGAGAAATATTCCGTCACAGCCTGCTCATATGTGCACCCATTAAAACAAAACTTAAAACACTACAGGTGACTGAGCAGTTTATTTAGCTAATCTTTACAGTATAATCTATACTAATTCATTTAAAAAGCTTGTAGCCTAACAGGTAAATTTATTCTTAACTAATTTATTTTTTACACGTTCCACTATCTCATTCAGAATATATAATCGAAGGAATGTTTTTGTAAATCGCCGTCAGGAAAATGGATATTAGAATGATTATTGGTTATATATCATAAGAATAATGAACGGTATGTTAAAGAAATAATTAGAAGAAAATGTCGGCAAGGAATTAAGTGAAAAACATGTGGTGAAATTTAACAGTCTCTTGAAAAGAAGACAGTCATTAGTTAAATTCCTCAGTAAGTATGTGCTATCACAACTCCGAATTTAAACTTATTTATTACAAAAAGAAAATAATCAATTCAAAAACCATACTGGTATTTGAATACTTTCCCATTAATGTTGAATCCTGTTTGGGCGAATAATTTCATTTAATCCTGAATAGAAGTTTATAATTTATTCAAATAGAGTGATTGTTCGACATTACTATTAACACTTCCAAATATCAGTCCCTGAAGATGAAAAAAAGTCATCTATTTGATACTTTTGTAAATTTATCTAGTGCTGATCATGTAGTCGTACAAAATCTTCATAGATTAATAATTTTTCTGAAAAATATTACCAACGTAAAAGTTTTAAACAAGGCTGAAGTAATTTGTTTAAGTGGTCTTGTGTTTCGCCTTGATTGATTTATACTGGACCGAAATACTTTCGACACTAACTCTTTGACGATATTTGGAAATTAACATGATGTTGTTTGTTTCGTGATGGCTAACAGTGGAATTCATGATGTCAGTTTTCCCCAAACGTGACAAGCTTTCATATGGTAACTTCACACTATTGTGACAACAGCGTAAATTGAAAGTTACAGAAAACTAACTACAGAATCAAATACTGAGTTTAGACTGTGTCGAATACCTTTTATTCAAACAAAATGGTGTAACCTGATAATCATTAGTATTACAGAGTCTTCACTTCTTTTATCCAGGTCACTAAATGAATAGTCAGGTTGAAAGGACATAGTACCATGCTTTTCCCTCTGCATTTTTATTACTTGGAAGTCCTCGACATTGAATAGATTATTCCCCATAAATTTAACAAAACTTTATTTATTTACTTTTTATTTTGATTACAGCTTGATGCCACACCGTATTTTCAGTACAAGTATGGCATTTTCAGCATGGATATTGGTAGCCCAAATTTTGCAGGCCGACCATAGATATCGGGTGTGCGTCGGTAGGGGTTCGAACCCCGGACCATGTGCATGGACGGCGAGAGTCCTAACCACTGTGCCACCGACGCACAATTTATATTGGTGGTGTTATAATGGCCTAATGTGGCCACACGAATTATACATATAATCGAACTATAATGTCACTCAAGTAGAATGGCTTATATTATGAACGCAGATGTCTGAAACAAAATCATCAGTTTTATTGTGAGTGTACAAACACTGATAAAAATAATTCTTTAACTGCTTAGTTTGTTGAGAGATTAACTGCATTATACTTTTTAACAAGTTGTTAACAGCAGTGCTACGGATGAACTACTTATAGCGTAAGAACTTTTGGCTACACACAGGTGACTATATTGCATATTCCTGCTAATTGTAGAGTCGTAGTTCGTTGCTATGGTGGTTTATTAACAAGCTGTAGTTTTCATATCCTTTTCAAATGAAATTTCACATTAAAAATTCTTTTCTGACTCATATATTATTGGTGGCGTCATATTCTTAAACTTCGTCACATTTGCTGCACTTTTACCGGGAATATGTTGCTTGATACTGACACCTGCTCAATATTTTGGTGTAAGGATGCAGTAATTTCAGAAGTTAAACGTATATTTTTGAATTTTCATAAAATCATTCTAGCATATTCGGCCTATTTATTGAAACGCCCTAATACCCACCGGATAAGCAGGTGGCGCCAGTTCAAAAAAGGGATATACCATATATAACTGCCCTCGACACACTATGTACATTTCTCTTTCATTATGTCTTTACATTTGTGTTTGACGGCTTATAATATGCATCCCTTGGTATGTCAACCTGTTGAACAGACAACGGAATGTCGCTTTTAGTCTCAGTTCGATCTTATTGTTTTAACAGTGACTAGCAGTGAATTGCTTGTGACAAGTGTGGTCCTAGGCCAGATGCTGGTGTTATCTGGATACGGTAGCTATCACAATTTACTGGTGTAGCAGATAAGGTCTTGATTCGCGCAATGATTCATTCAAGGTTTTAATCTCAGTACAATATTCCTCATTCATTAGAATGCAGAAGAATTCAGCTGAGAGGCCCAAAATATAAGTGAATACAAGTCAAATGATCCAGTGCTATTCAATATCAGAAAATTGATACATAATACGTATTTGTTATTGCAGTCCGCATTGACCGAATACCAGTAGAATAAACAACAATAATTAGAGGAAAGAAATCAAGAATTTGTGTTCGGTAGAATTATATGTATTATGTACGTACAATAGAATAGAAACAAACAGTAGTAAATATTTAGACAATACAATAACTAAAATAGCTGATTACCACATGATATTTATGTTCAATCTTCGTTTCTTAAGTGAAAAATTTATGTTTTAATGAAAACAAAGCACCACTTTCCTTTTCTTTTCTCTCTTTCTAGTCATTTTCTTTTCACTTAATTTATGTTGTACCTAGTATTGGAGATAAATCTACTTAAATTTACACAGATCTTAACCTGACATGTGAGTTTTTATGCAACATTCTCCCATGATAGGACTAAATTCTTGATACTGTTTCTCATTTGAGTAAGTTAATTAAGAATACCACATGATACTTTGAAACAAACACTCCCCTCTCTTACAAGTGCAACATCATATGCAAGTGTGTATCTCACATTGTGGGTCAGATGACCGATAAATACATATATATAAATACACACTCCACTCTGCCTTAATACATTTTCTTGAAACAGTTTCAGAAGCTTTTGTTTCTGTTGTTTTCCAGCTATGGCCAATCGGTGAGTATAAGTATTTTTCTATATGATGCTATTCACTACTTTTAAAGAGCAGTTACATTTCCATACGAATAAAACCTGAAAAAGTTTCAGTCTATTCCTTTGTTTTTTAGGGAACATGTAAGAGCTATGTTTGAAGCTGCAGATACTGACAAGTCAGGAAAGCTTTCCGCACAGGAAGTGAAGAGGCTCTTAGAAAATGATTATGGCACTGACCTTTCAGACGACGTTGTTCAACATTTCATGGCAGAACATGACTTAGATGGTGATAATGAATTTAGTATTGATGAGTTAGCCGAAGTATTCGCCCCTGCAAATTAAAAAAATTCATTGTTGATTCTTATATTAAGCATTTTCAATTATATACGCTTATTGTGATTTTAAAAAGTAATATCTTCTTACCTTTTATCTCGTGATAGATAGTGCTGAACTGAGCAGCAATCTGCTGACCTATAAGTACTGTGCTTATTCACCGCTAGTAAATTTATGATGTCGTGTACACACTCACGCTGACTAAACCAGTATTTTCACCTGCAATACTATTCGAAGTGGGTGTGTATGTCGCACTTGCTTTTACTAATGGGAATACATATGGTTCTGTCGTGGAAACATATAATCCACTGAATAGTTATGTTGCTTGTGTTGTCCGTTGACATTTTGCTAGAAAAATATTATAGGTGTTAGTTGGTAGCAATTGGTTTGTAAACGCAGAACGGCCGGTTCTTTGTTAAAGGACTAACATTAGGTACTCACCAACTAGTTGACAAAGATATGTTATATTTTTCACTACACAATTTGCTATAGAAATTGCATGAAATTTACAGCTGGAGGTGTTCTGTAAATTAAAACAAACCAGGAAAAACAGGAGAATGAATACAGAAGGTGAAAAACAATTAAATTACTGTTATACAAGTGTCTAAAAGATGGTTGTAATAATTTGAAGACTAAACATGTAATCCAGATTTAAAATTCAATTAGCCTTAATAAATTGTGAGATGTTTTCAAGCGACTCATTTGAAAGGTCTCACATTACTCTGATAAATTGTGCACTTACTTGAGAGCTATAAACTTAGTCATGTTGATCTGTCTCTAGTAAAACAAATTTTCATATTGCTGTCTTAAAACGTTTCGTTTATTCCCAAACATGATGGAATTGCAAAATATCGCTGAGTTACCAACAAGAGATCTATTTTACCCAAATGCTGCCACCTAGTCAAATGCACAAATTCCTAGAGTTCTGCTATATCATACTATGTCCTATTTATAGACATTTACAAGTTAATACAGTTGTTGAACAACTGAATATAAAACAAGGTGTGTCACAGTTCCATCTGGATACTTCTTTTTCAATTTGCAGTCGGTGGTGTTCCTTTAAGTCCTACTTACTCAGTAATCCAAAGAATGTTCGATATTTTTGTGCAGCCTCATCATGCCTTACACTATTTTTCTGAAGTGCACATGGGGGAAATTCACCGAGGTGTTTGTGCACAAAAGACGAAAAGCTTATGGCGCAGTATTTGTAATCACGTGTGCACTTCAAGCTCTGTATGTCTACCATAACTCGAAAGAGAAATTCAGTAATTTTTAAGTTCGTTACATCAAAATTAAAGGATAATTCAATGCGTACTCCATCACTTTACCTGCCAGTAACTGTTAGTTTAAGTCAGTAGATGACTTAGTTTAATGTATTTACCAACTGTAAATAAAGATTCGATTTAATTTTGTGTCAACTAAGTGCAAATGCTACTCAGTATACTCATATGATCATAGGTAAAACATTATGAAATCAGAAGTCACATTTATACTTATCAGCTCGCATTCTTGACAAACTGCCATTTAAGATTCCCCAAAACTATTGTCGTAATTCTTTCACAGTCCAGTAACATTCATCTGAAACTATAACTGAATTGGTGCTGGGAAGATGTTTTCTGACCGATATACTAATTGACACCATCCAAGCTGTTTTGTTGAAAATTTCGAAATGAAAATAATGTTAAATAACGCACTGATATGTAAAATGTTATTGTTCATGAGAAGTAGGACGTACAGTACTCAAAGTGATTAATTAGTTAAGAGAACATTGATCAGTTCAAGAGTTAGCCGACTCCATTGAAAAATTCTACGGAAATAGAGATTTTTATCTAATATTAAAAAAGAAGCGTTACATATAGTCTACATATAGTCTGCCACCAGTATACTGAGCAATCAGATGGTCATATAACATAACGTAAAGATGTGGACGAAATGGTTGTGACACGAAATCGCTCATCTAACTCAATTGCAGTCAACCAATGTGACCAACTCACAATATTGAAGAGTTTGAAAATCTTGGAACACACTGACTAGAAAATATCCGGACCATACATGGAAATATAATATCCAGGCAACAATGCTATTTAAGAAGCTACCAGTGGCAACACTATCTTTCCACTCAATGAATACAGCAAAATTTTGTTGCTTGCGAGAACACACGACAGATGAAACATGCAACAGCATTCTCACCACCTTCAGAGTAACAAACCAAGTACAATATAGTGATATCACGTGCAGTGAAGTCAGTAAAGACAATGACCTAATCCAAATAAATTCACAGGTCAAAGAAATGTGATTTTCTCAGTTTGAAAGAATGGTGGAGTCTCTTTACATCATAAAAAGGTTCGAATATCCACTCAAATCCAATGTGTCCAATATCAGAATAAATGCCACAATGTACAGGAAAATGAGTGAACCAATGGTTAGATCTTCAATTCACCAATCAATCTGGATTTGTGTCGGTATACCAACAATAAAGATGCCTCCTTGTCCATTAAGTGAAGTTAAAGATGTTCCGGCTAGTTATTGATTCATTGTAAACTACCATAAATGACCGTTTCAAACAACAAAAATTCACTACAAAGGCTCAGACATCCAATGCTCGAAATGACTGAAAAAGATTAGTCTCGGTTCCACTTGCTTTTTGGACTTGAAATGCATTTTGGTGATCCTGTGACCATCAAGGATGTGCAAAACAATCATTACACTCCTTTACCTCGCTAAGCCAGAATTAACGCTGATGAAGAGGAAAGGTTGGGCATGAGGCTAGCAACCCCATCCTGTAAAATAAGCACTGCTACAGAAACTTCAAGCCTCTAGCTTTAAGCCCTATGTTCCACTGGGAACGCTAAGGAATAAAAAAATTGGTATAAAACAAAATGACAACATACTTTTGACAGTATGTCGACAAATATATGCCTACCAGTTCTCATCGATGCAGAGAACATTAGATCGAGGAAGGAAATTTATCTCACTTTTTTAAGCTACTACTGCTTGATATTAAATATTTTAAATTCACAAAAGACGGTCAACAGCCACTGATTGATTCACTGATTTGTGTTGGCGTATAGTGCGGCTAACTCTTCAGTCAGTCACTGCTGGTCATGGTTTGCATCATGTTGGCTCATGAATAGCCTGGTCGAATCATCTATCAGTTCACTGCTAATATTATCTTTCAAAACCTTCTTGATAAAAGTATGAAGTTTGACTGCTAAGAGTTCACGCATATACACTACCCATAAATAAACTAGGGAGGTGAAGTTAACAGAAAATCACTGTGTGACATTTAAAAAGTAAATCAGTCGAACAATGAAGCTGTAGTTACAAGTTGGAACAATTGCACATGAATTCAGTCATTCACAACTGGAATCCAGTTTATGAGGTAGATAATATGTCCAATCACGTTGTGTAGCTTAAAGTAAGAGAAGAGACGTCTTTCATATTACATCAGTTTTACTAGACATAAATATCAACTTTGCTCGGTCATGCATTTTCTCTAGTTACTGCATATGTTTTGAGGATCTGACTGAGGGTGATATTTGTAACTGGATGGTTCGTTGTAGGTTTACTATCCGCATAGGCTATTTGTAAATTTGTGTTCGTGTTACACCTTGCAGCTTGCATATTTCATATGCATATTTTGGTTCATAAGAGACAGTTTGTTCATTGTTCGCCATGATAGTCCTGATAGTCCTTTACAAGTGAACATCTGGTGAATTGTGCTCTTTTTCAAGACGTTTATACGCAAACAGTCCAAAAGTTGGGGTATAAAATTACTGAGGTAAATTCACGCCTAGTCATTGAAGAAGTTTGCCTATCAGTTAGATACTCTGCCCACTTATATTGTTGATGGCAGCGATGAAACCATTATGGTGCTTCATATTACTGTTTATCATTCTTATTATCACATCTTTTGAATTTATGACTACTAAAATTTCTATTATTCATTCCTTACTTTTTGAGGGGATTTTGGATATCTGAGGGATATCTACATTGCACTCAGTTGACTGTTTATTATTATTATATTTAATAAATTCGGTGAACAGAATATCATGTATGCAATACCCACAATGTACAATGTCATTATTTCTCTGCTTATTTAAGAATCGAAAAAATTCGGTTTGAAAGTAGACAAATATTTGGAGGTTTGATATTCAGATATGAATATGTAGAGTATTTTATTAACTTTATTCAATAAACTCTCTAGGAAAGCATAAAAATCAAAATGTCAATCGAAATTTATCTGGATTCTAAATAACTAGTACGGAAACATTTACGCTATGGCACTGAATTTTCCCATATTTTTAAATTAAAGCGACGGGAATGATCTGTTCCACTGGAATGTTAAACATCTCAAATATCTAAACGAACACGACTATATGAAAACATATGATCATTTGTTTTAAAGATGCAAGTGAAGATGAAAATACATAAATCTAAAAAAAGCTTAGCAAGACTCAAAAGTGACTCAGAATGTGAACCAGTTTGTACAGGAAGTTAAATTTTAAGTGCATAACATCTGATAAGACATAATGAGGCCTGTGAACAGTTTTCAGACCTATAAATCTAATATTCTTACTTAATTAATCAGAATTTTGAGAGAATGAACTATAACTAAAGTTTAATAGCAGCATATATTTTATCGTGAAACTGATGTGAAGATATAGAAGCACTGAATGTTGGAGAATGATAAATGTTAATAGAACCATGAAGACCTTTGCTTTTCAACGTGTTAGTATGGAAGTATGAATATTGTATGTGACGGAAATAAATTCGTCCTATGTGTCAGAATACTATGTTTCCGTTTTCTTAGTCCTTGCTGATAATAAATATTTACATTGGCTGATAGTTTTTTTATACAGTGAGAGGCAAAGTTAGTACGATGGTAAATGTACTATTGTTTATTTACTTGACAGCGACGCAAACGCAAGGCAACTCGGTTTTTGTGTTAAATCCTCTGTATTGATTAATTTCTTTAAAGTAAAACTGAGTTAATGTCACCACCTCAG